TTTATTAAATATAAAATTAGGAATCAAATCGTACCAAGTCACATAAATTTATGTCTCTAGATCACGGCATCAATATCCAATACAAACTAATCATATACTGTATGTCTTAGAAGTATAAAATTTTTATTAAAAATAAATTATGTATCGCAAATCAAATATTTTTTGAATCTACTGCGGCACACATTATAGTTTACCACTAATGCAGGCCAGAATTGTGAAATTCCGAAATCCCGATATTCCATCTGCACAGCATCCCATTATTACGTAGTTAAAATTTGATAATTTCAGATATAAATTTTTTAGAATTTAAAAATTTTAGAAAATTTGAATTGATACTTAAAATTTTGGATTTTTTGTGAAAATTTTATATCTAAAATTTTACGGGTCCCTGGGGACCGTATGCCCGTGCTAACTGGACCGTAAATGGCTCGGGTTTTGTAGAAGTTTACTAATCGAATCAATGATGAGTAAATTCACATACGTACGTACCACCGCGATAATAAATACAAACATGTGGATTAATGATTAAAACATAAAATTTATATCAGTAATCAATATAATACGAACAAACTAACTACACATGAAGTAAAATTTTGTAAAGAGTTTCTTTTGTTAAGATACTCAAAGCAGCTTCAGTGAAATTATGAGATACACGTGGCTCTCGATATAACGGAGGCCATGGTTCCAGTCCTTTGCTCCGTTATATCAAAAGCTCCATAATATCAAAATCTCATGATATATCGGATATTATAATAAAAAAATAAACCTTCGCTATATCAAGAATTTTTTATTTTTTTAATACAAAAACTAGATTTATCTTTTATTATTCAGCTTTGCTAGTTTTCAATAATTTACACCAGTTAGATATTCTTCAAAGTGTAAAGACACTATTCTTCGAATATAATAGAATAGTATCTAGGTATAAATCAAATTTTTATCACCAGAGAACCCGGGTACAACTTATAGGGGATCTGCGTCTTAATGCTATAAAAATAATACATCATTAATTTGACAGTGCGAACCCAAATTTTAGAGTGTATAAAGTTTATTGGCTTATATTAATATTTAAATAGTTTTCACGATCTAGTTTTAGTTTAAATAAAAAAGTTTAAGCACATATTTATTATTTATAAGTATTGTAATTTTACTAGGTACAGTATCGGTATGTATATACTTTGTATTGTTAGACAATGGTATTCAATTCAACTATTTTTGAGATTGTATAACAGAATCAACTTTGTATATGTATAAGTTCAATAAACCTATTTCTATCATTATACATACTACATGCAGAATTTAATATTTTCGTTGTGAATATTTAAAAGCAAGAATGTAAGAAAAAAGTGTCACTAGTGTCGCAGGTTAATCTATGACATTCGTCACAGAATGACTTAGTCTAAACAGCAAGCACTTGATTGCTTCGCTATAACCGATTTCTAAGTTTTATATCCAGGCAAGTATTTTATTTATTACTCAAATGAACTTTATTAATTATGAGCAAGACTAATACTAATTACCTCTCTCACTATTATTACAATTGCTTTGCCTATATACATACTTCAGGTCATTACTTATATTATAATTTGCTCATATGATCATATGATCATTTGACTCTTATATTGCTACATAAATTTACCTCATATTTCATGCATACTGATTATCTTACCTTGGCATAATATTACATAATACTGACAGTTGCATAATTGATCATTATTTGATCTAATTTCTAATCGATCCATATGCATTACATGCACAAGATTAACCCTATTTATGTTATTGATCCAAAAAAAAATTATTACAATAAGTACTTTATATTAGGTATTATAGTATGAAACTATTAAAATTGGCTAATCTAAATTAGATTTTAAGTTATTAACTATTTATTAATTTATTACAGTAAGGGTGATGACATATATTACATAATATCCATTTACTATGAGACCATACCCCCCACCCCACCTAAGACCAATCAAAATGCTTGATTTTGTTGCATCAAAATGTATATTTATCTCATATAATGTTCAAATAATTCTTGATTTTGATTGGCTATTATTACAGATTGTGTAACCTAAGATCTTGGCTGACCCCCCACTCTCTAAAATATTAGCTAATATCTGTCATGGCCCTAACCTTTATATAATATTAAATAGTAAAGTGAAAAGGTTAGTATAATAATATATCTAGATAAAATAAATAATTATTTATTAATTTATAGCTAAATTTGATAATACATTTATTTCTTTATCAACCTATAACTACATTTTATATTTATAATATATTAGAAGAATAAAATAAAAATTCAAGGGTTGGGATCCCATGCCTAGTGGTCTAGGCACCCAACCCTCCACGAGCAGGTTTCAGGTTCAAGTCCTAGTAGGTACATTTATCTATGAATATTTGGAAGTATCTGCCGTGGGAAGTCCAAGTAAATACAAGTCTGGATTAGGAATTTCCGGAAAGAGGTCCATTGTGGAGTAGTTGGCACTGTGTGTAATAGTGGCTATTACAGAAGGTTTTATTACACAAAGGTTGTGCGTGTAAATTCGCAATTGGCAAGATAACACCAACAACCTCTAAGGTGGCATTAGAGATCTTGTTTGGGAGAATGATCAGGCAATAACTAGAATTGGAAAGTGGTGAAAAATGTGGTGAACACAAAGAGACCTGTGATAAAGAATTGACCTTACCAAATTTGAAACACCTCTGGCATATACGAAACTCACTGGCCAATAAGAAGTTGAAGCATGGAGGCATGTACATGTTGATAGATCTAACAGGCTCTGGTCGTACCTATATGGAAGCCTTTGGCATTAAGAGGACTCGGGACTACTAATATAGGTATAGTTAGTATAAGTGTATACAGTGATAACCGGAGGCTACAACTGCAAAGAATTACCATAAAAAGAAACGATGACACACCTGTTACCTCTGAGCCTCATGATGCCATCCAACTATACTGACCACTAGAAGCATTTGTGAAACATACCTAAGTAGCCTTGTTACCATATTGGAAAGTACAGTCATTAGCACAGACCTAATCGGATACGTTAAAATCTGGGTCCTGAAAGTTGCAGGAAACCAGCTAGTTACGGCAGCATGCAGGCTTGAGATACTTACCTGTTTGGGTAGAGGCAGCTGTATAGCTTGAGATACAAACTCCTGAAAGTACGCTAAGTAGGAATTGAGGGAGAAAATCTCTCTGACAGGTACACCAAACCGGAAGCAATAAGCACCTACCTGGTACACGCTGATTTGGAAGTTGAAGATAAATGGTTTGTAGGTAATGTAACAGACACGTAAATACTGATTGGCAGTTGGAGAGAGATGTATAAATCCAGGTTAGCAGTTTAGTGGAGATATAGTCAGCTCTGGTTGGTTTTAGCCATAGATAAATAGTTTGTCCTAGTCTTAGTACTTGATATAATATGTATATGTATCAGCACCATCATATATTAATCATTTAAGTATTAAATAAAGTCTAAGTGTGGGTGCTACACCCTTATAATTAAAAAAAATAAATAAATAAAATAAAAATTCTAAACAGTAAGATTAACAAAATTTTCTAATATAGCTTGTTTCTTATTTTCATTGCACAAATAGACAATATACATTTTAGGTAGAGATCTGCAGGTCAGGCTCATACCCATGTCTAACAAAAAGTATAAACAAGATGCAGGCACAAAATCTTAGGCATGGGCATAAATATGGGTACAAAATTTGGCACAGACATGAACACAGGTATAAAAATTTGGCATAGGTTGGCATGAGTATAGGTATAGATTAAAAAATATGACCAAGAACTTTTATAAGTAAAGATATAAAGTGCAAGACATAAGTCATCACTTAGTACCTGCAACATTTGTGCCTGTGCCCTTATAGTACCTGCCTGCACCCATAATGTGTCTGGCAATTTTGTGTCTAGGAACAAAGGCATAGCTCAAGGTACTAGTGCCAGCCTAATGCCTAATTTGCCTGGCATGGACATTTGTAGATCTCTACTTTTAAGACTATATAATTCTTTTATCAAAGACAAAGTAATTTCTAAATTATTTTGCTGAATATACATTATCAAGTTATCAAGCCCTACAATCATATTACCAATATTAACAATTTCTTTACCTTGTTATTCTTTTTTAGATTTGCTTTCATCTTGTCTATTAACTATATCAACAATATTATTTACAGTTAAGTTTTTCTCGATATCTGCATAATTATCTATGTTAATATATTTTTGAATATCTAAAGGATTACTAATTAGTAAATGTTCAATAAGATTTATAATTTCTATTTCCAATTTAGTTTCTTCAGGTGTGAAGATAAATTATTATCAAAATTTTCTGAAATTGGAAGTATATTGGCTCTACTCCAACTGTGAATAATCATATTTGCAATAAAATTTTTCTATGCTTAAGCTGAAAAATTAATTGTATTATATATAGTAAGTTTAGAAGAGGTTGGATTATCTTTGATAATTGCATCATAAGCTTCAAGACAGTTTTAACAAAAAATATAACAATATTGTGTTTACAAAAAAATAAATAAGTAAAAATTTTATTAAATAATAAAAATTTAAATTATTTGAAATTTATTTTAAGACTGTAACCAATTTTTTGATCAATAGGTTGAAGTCAGAATGTTGTATTAGGTAGTAAAAAGTGTATATAGATATTTAAAAAATTTTAAATATTTTCTGAATTATGTGATGAAGCATTGTCAAAAAGTAAAATAATATTATATTGAGTAAGTCTTATTTTATCATTAAGTTGATCTAAAAAATAACTGAATATACTTCTTTGTATCTATCTTTTTGTTTCAATAATACCAGACAGGATGAGTAGATTTTTCAATATCATGAAGTGCATGTGGTGTTTTGAATTTGTGAATAAAAAAAAATAGTAACTTTTCATCACCAGTAAAATTACAAGTAATCATAAGTGAAACTATTTTATGATTTTTTCTAAAACTGAACTATGTGCAAGTGTCTTGCTTGGTTCAAGTTATCAATAAAGTTCAGCTTCATTACAATTAAAAATATTTCTAGGTTCATAATTCTGAAGAATATTTTGAAGTTTTATACAAAACTTTAAAATATCTTCTGAAAAAACACTACTAGATTCTTCTCTAAGTTGATATGATGAAATAGTATTTCTTTTTTTGAAATTAGCAAGCCATCTATTAGATGCATTAAACCCAGTAATTTCAAATAGATTTGCAAATTCTTTAGCTTTAGCTTAAATAAGATGGCCTATAAGAGTAAGTTCATTTTTTTTTTAAAAAAAAATTTGATGGCCATGTCAAATGCCTGCTTTATTGATGAGATACTATATTTCCTAAAAGATTTACCAAATTACATCATATCTTATGGCAAAAAATCTGGAATGCAGCTCATCTAGTTTCCAATTGGACCTATACATGATCTGCCAAAGATGAATTCAATCTCCCCTGTTAGTAGGGTTCCTAGGTTCAGTTCAGTTCAAATTTAGGTTCAATGAACCTGAACTGAACCTGAACCTGAACCACAAAT